GCCCCGGAGGGAGCCAGGCCGGTTTTGAGAAGACGTCGACCTAAGGGTATAACTGAGGTCTGCCAGATTATAGCGGATTACAGAGGGAAGCAGTCTCGGACGGCCAAGCACGCTGCAGCGGCTGTGTCCAAGGATGAGCATGCGTGCCCCGGGGCGGTGGCACAACCTCCCCCAGCCAAGGACAAGCAGCTGGCTTCGCTTATTGAATCACAGACTAAGGCTATCAACGCTATGCATACTTCGCAGAATGCCCTGCTTGGGTCCCTGAAGGACATCCTCAAGGCTCAACAAGATTCTGGTCGTAAGGATAAGGACATGCGTGCAGGACCCACGCAGCCCATGAGTCAGCTGATGCCGTGCGGGATCTGTGAAGGGAAGCATGCATCCTATAACTGTCCCCATAAGAAGTGCAGTGAGGGTTGCTTTATCTGTGGTTCTAAGGCACACTTGTCCCACTCGTGTCCCGAGCGCCCAGCTCTGCTGGAAAAGATTAAGAAGGGTGTGACGCCGGAACAGGGAAATTAGCGCCCAGCAGCCCGCGGTCGTCAGTCGCTAAAGCCTTGACCCCTGATGATCATAAGAAAACATTGACTTTGTACCCTTTTGGAGATGATTCTGGTCTATTCTTGTCTGTACAACTTGTGTCAAATTATCAGTCTGTTGGCCCTGTTCGCTGCCTCGTGGATACTGGCTGCTATGCCACGATGGTAGCACGTGATGTGATTCCTGCTGGCTGCGAAGTTAGCCCCATGAATGGGCCGTCGTTGATTACAATAGATAAGTCCTCTTGTAAGATTATTGGTGTAGCAACATTAGCGATTAATCTGATTACAGCAGCAGGGGTGGGGGAGAGAGCCCGCTCCACTGCTGATGAGTTGAGTATTCCCTTTTTGATTACAGCTTTTATTGTAGAATCGTTGGCGTTCCCCGTGATTCTGGGGCACGACTTCTTAAAATATTTTCAGTTAGATATATTGTATTCAGAGAAGCCGGTGCGTATTATTGGTCGGACTACGACGGCACGCCGCCTGGTATTCCATGGTTGATGCGAAATGCATTGGACGCCGTTGACAGAG